CCCTCGGCCGTTTGGTCTCCCCTGCCGAAGGCTTCCATCTGCTTGTATCTTATTTATTTATGTAACTTTTGTATTTATTTTATTTTTTAGATATTTATGTATATTTATCTTTTCATTTTAATTTAAAGTTATATATTTGTAGAACCCAACCCGATGAGAAAATTATATATATACCCCAAAAATAATAATAAATACATTGTTGGAATCGCCTGATTTTTCTGCGTCGTTTGGTCTTACTCACGTCCTTCTACGACGACTTTTGATGTCTCCACATTTTTCATTTCACTTTTTTTTCCTTACTAACCGACAAAATTTTTGAAAATTTGGTGGTTATCGTAATTATTGTGAAATGCTGAATTTGCCCTTGGTCAAGTTTGATATTTCTGTTTGTACGGTAATTACTAAACTTAGTTAATTTTTCCAGTATCTGGCAATAATATAGTGTTAGCTGCATAGTATTTTTTTTTCCCAGAAAGGATTTGTTCTTTTATCACTTATGTAATTTTGGCTTATTTGTTTTTTTATACATGACGTTTAGTTAAAAATGCCAGTTTTCTTAAATATTCAACTGGTTCAGCAAATATTATCTGCCCAAAAATACAAGTGATGGTTGATTAGTCAATTTTTACCTGCAATTTTCAAGTGTTATTTTAATATTTAGGCAACTTTTAAATACTGGAACCTATATGATTATCCAATGTTGGTTATATCCTATGTTTGTGTTACACAGGCGCAAAGTGTATTTTTACGCAAAATAATTCAAATAAAAAGTGTCGGTTACACTTACGGATAACACGTGAGCAGTCACTTAAACATGCAGTAAAGTTAGTTTCAGTTAAGATACTTCAGTGCACGGCCGGTCGTCACTTTTGAAACACACGCCAACGCTTATTTTATGGAAAATCGTTGCAATAACAAATAAATTCGTTTTTAATACTGTTTCCGCGTTACTACATGGTGTACCTTTACTTCAGAACAATGAATCTAAGAAAACGTTGTCATAGTCTTTTGGAAAAAGGCTCTTTTAATATCGGGGATAGCAACCAAGGACGACCTACAGTCGGTATGTACCTATCTATTGAGACGGCACAATATTATTATTAATAATTAAATTCAATATAAAGGGGCATCAAAAATAGTCTTAATATATATATATATATATATATATATATATATATATATATATATATATATATATATATATATATATTAAGCAATAAAATTACATTAATACACATAAAATTAATATAAATATATTTCAGACATAAGACCAATAACATAGTAAATTAAAGGCAAAATATTGTCTTTCATAATAAATAAATTTATTTAAAAACTTGAAAAACTATTTAAAATAAGATAAACAATAGAAATACAAGTCGAAAATACTATAAAAATAAAGATAACATTTATAAGATAATTAGAAAATTTGTAAAAATTGTCTAAGTCTTGGAAGGAGTTCATGTATAAAAGAAAATTTTCCTAAGTTGTGGAAGGAGTTCACGCATAAAAGAAAATTTTCCTAAGTTATGGAAGGTGTTCATGTATAGATGTCTTATATGGAGGAGCTGCCGGAGATACATACCTGCAGTTGTACATATATATATATATATATATTATATATATATATATATATATATATATATATATATATATATATATATATATATATATATATATATATATATATGGGGTGGTCGGGAGCCTGACTGCTTGAAATACTCTAGCACAATGACTAGTCCTATATTAGGAACATATGATAATAAACTAAATGATACAAAAGAAATACTATAGAAGGTCTCTATGATGAATTTGCATTACAATAGTGGGGTCGTCGGTTGAAGTCCTATATATTAATGAATTATGAAAGTAAGGTCTGTGATACAAAAGCAATACTATAGAAGGTCTCTATGATGAATTTGCATTACAATAGTAGGGTCGTGGGTTGAAGTCCTATATATTAATGACTTATGAAAGTAAGGTCTATGATAAAAAAGCAATATTATAGAAGGTCTCCTTGATGCATAAGCATTATATGGGGTGGTCAAATGACAAACTGCTCTTAGTACTGTAGCAAAATGGCTAGTCCTTATTAGGGAATTGAAAAGGATTATTGTGGTGGCGTGTATGCTGCTTCACGAGCAATTGGTCCGAGGTAAACTTGGACTCGCTAACCGATGTGTACTAGACATATCATCTTAGTGCCGATGGTAAGCGGGTTTGTTGTAGCAATACGGTATTCTATCGGTTTATACGCTTTCCTGTGGACATCGCACACCCATACCGTTTGTGGGCGGTGTCGTAGCGCACAGTGAAGCGTCGTTTATCTTTCGGATTGGGATGAGTGTGTTTGGTAGCACTTTTAAGTTTAACAGGCATACTCAACTTCAGGTCTTACTGCATTAGCGCTATGATACGTGGAGTTTTGTTCACTGGCGTCTAAGTAGCGTGCTACTATGATACGTTGGTGATATTTTTTAGTTAACAACAATACAAACTTTGTTATCAAAGTCGATAGGGATCATGTGGGTGTGTTGTGAGGGGGCGCCGCCTGTATGATAGTTGCATTGATGCTTACTGCTTCTTGCAGTATTGCGTCTTGTGTTGGAGCTACGGGTGTGCTGCGCCTGATTCGACGCCCTCTTGTGGTTCTTGTCGGTGGAGGTATGCGGGTAGTGATGTCTGCTGGGATGTATCAAGGTCCCCCAACTTGGGATGGTGTGAGCCCGACGATAGTCGTATTGATGCTTGTTGCGTTCTTCAGCATTGCGTCTTTGCGATGGTTGTTTTGTGGGACGCTATTCTCAATGACGCTCTCTGCGTCTCGGTTTGACTCACACCTAAGTAGCTTTGCCCAAGTCGGGTCCCTTCATTACGGGGCTGCAGACTGTCTGCCCTCCACGATGTTTTGTATAACAACATAATAATATATCTCTGTAGCTTTCCCACCTTTGAATGATTGAAGGCAACTTGTTGGTGGGTGAGGCAAACATGATCGAAAATGCATTTACTCAACGTCAGTGACAAAGCAAAGCATTCCTGATGGCGAATTATTACTCTTATCTTATAACTGCCTTTTGGCTATAGCTGCCGTTGTATTGGTTGGTGGAGCATATGTGTTGGCCTCATGCGGTTGGTAGCTGGCGGGAGGATCTGAGGAGACTCTTAAGGCTGCGGCCGAAAGCCACAAAACGTGGGACCCCATTCCCTTGAGGTGAGCGGTAAACTCATGACACGCTCTGCGGCTAGTAGCTGTGCTGATCATGCAATTGGTGGTGATGCCATACACTTACATCACGTCTGCAGGAGCGGCGGTCTGGCAGGTGGTGGCGCTCACGGAGGGTTTACGGCCAGTGTTCCTATTTGCTTAAACCGTGTGACGTACATTCACTGTGGCTGGATTCGTTCGTATTCTGTAAGGCGTTTACACGCATTGACATACGCGACTTCGGTCGATGTTTGTGCTTACTCATTAACAAGGTGCCAAACCTCTTTTACTGGTTCGCCAGTTATTTTGCTGTGGACTACGGTCCAGTTCCCGAATTAGCGTTCCCTTCGGGGGAAGTGTATCAAAATGGTTGGCGCTCACCGCGCGCGGCACGTGTGGAGCCGTGTGCCTCCCCTACATTTTTTTTTAAATAAATGTAGAAGAGCGAAGCCCTTGTGTCGGGATTTTGTATAAAAATATTGTGAGCCTTTTCCAAGCGGGAAGGGATAATTAATAATAAATTAATAATGCAAACCTGGTACAAGTGGAATAGGGACGTTTTATGTTCTTAACCTTTCTCTAGCCCTGTCTTCGTAAACGGGGTTCACTTAGCTTATAAGGCACTACCAACAGCTTTCAATTGCTCTAGTGAATATTTATTCTCCCAAAAGACACCTAAAACAACTAAGTTACTAAACAAACACAACGTAAATAAGGGTCCTAACTAAGACGATCACGCTAAAAATATTACAAACGGCCTATTATTAAATTTAACTTTCCGTTTTAAATATTAAGAATGCCACGGTCATACATATAGTATACTAAAGTAATAAATGTATTAAGTCATTCGTTAGTAAAACGGACATGACCGTTATAACCAGACTTAAGCTGAGAACAAACTTTCGGACGCGTCCGTCAGCCGCGGCTTAACGGTGTGCACACTGCACAGTAGGCGAGACGTCATCTTCGGACGCCTTCAAGCTTTGACAGGCCTGTTGGTCTAGTGGTTAGTGACCCTGACTGCTGTGCCGGAGGTCGTGGGTTCGATTCCCACCCAGGACAAATGTTTGTGTGATGAGCACGATCATTTGTTCTGTGTCTGGGTGTAATTTATCTATAATATTTATGTATTTAGAAATATATAAGTATGTTTATCAGTTGTCTAGTACCCATAACACAAGCTCTGCTTAGCTTGGGACTAGATGGCGTTGTGTGATAGTTGTGGATTATTATTATTATTATTATTATTTATAAAGATCATTTAGAAAGATCAAAATATATTTTATTAATCCTGGTCACATATATATAATTTTATTGAAATTAATTAATATTTAATATATTTATTTATAAGGAGGGGGGGAAGCGTTACACTATCACAATTTTCTTTGCATCTCTGATTGTTGTTTCGTATTATTTATTTTATGTTATATTTTATGTTTTTCGTTATTATTTGTGTTATGTACATTAATTTTCTGTTTTGATATCATAGACAAGGGCTCCATTTAGCTTGTTACTCATTCAAAGTCATGTCTCTTTACAGGTGCTAGCTATACCTACTTCGGCCAAAGCCGTCTGTATTAAAATAATATTGGTACTGCTGCTAATTTAAGGATCTACACAATTATCTTTAAATTGCCTTTAAGACCATTCTCTCATATTTTTAAAAAGTGAGAGGCAGCGTAGAGGAAAGAAGGTAGTTATGAATTTTTGTAGTATAAATAAATAATTTATAATCATTTATAATCGCCGCATAATATTAGATATAACATTCCTCAAAAAGCTGTTGTCAGGACAGATGGCATGCAGTGAATTGCTTAATGAAATAAATTTCGAAATCCCGTACAGATATCCACGAAATCCTCTCACTAACATACTTGTTGTACCAGTAAGTAGAACAAATGCTCTAAAACATTCTCCATTATCAAGGATGTGTTCTGAGTACAATCGATTTTCCGCGTCCATTAAAGATTTTGATATTTTTCATGACTCAGTGACAAATCTGAAAAAAAAGCTTACCGCACATTTTTGTTGGTAAATTAGATTTGTAATTTAATATTTATGCTACTAAATTTCTTCTTTTTGTTATACTTTTGATTTTTGATTTTTGATTTTTACTTATTAATTTGCTGCAACTCAAAATTTGTAAATTGAAATTTATTTTGAACTTAAATTAATTTAATGTCTTCTAACGAGAGTGATGTATGCACCAGTAATTGGTATGCATACCAAACTATTTATAAGACGAAGATTATTGTAATGTTTTGTATGTTATGCTGTTGGTGTGTCAATAAATAAATAAAAAAAAAAAAAAATAAATACATAGGTACCTATAACTTGGTCAGAATTTATAAAAATAAGAAACTTTTACCATGTTACAGGCCAGTGAAATGTTTAAAGAAATTGGCCCAAAGAAGAAGAAAGCAGCTGGACATAAAAGTCAGACTGTCACTGAGGAAGAGAAACAGAAAACAAATAAAAAGAAACATTGCAGATAATCAAAATGTAAAGAGTCTGTAAGTAGCTACTGACGTATTTTTGTTATATTTTTAAATATAAGACGTATCTTACAGGTTAAATTATCGCGTAACGTACGCGTTTATCGGGTCTTTCGTTAACTCGGTATCCCATACGACAAGAAGATGAACTAAATTATTTCTTATATTAATTTGGCTGCTTAGTGTAGTTTTCCATCAGGGTATTCTACCATACAAAAGTCCCTGGTTCGAGTACTAGGGATATTATAAGGTATAAAAATAATTTTTGATGATTCTGTACTTCGGAGAGTACATTTTAACTGTCTTATTTTGACTACTGTCATTAAGAGTAATCAATCTTCATTAAATCTTTGGCCATATTGTTATGTCATGATTTTAGAAAAAATAAACTAAAGAAGCTACTTCATTTATTTCATGATGAAACGCTGCAAAAGTGCTCTTCAGTTGCACCTGTAATATGACGACGTATTACTGAAGATGAAGAGAACTATAACCCTGAGGAAGTTTTCCCAGCTCTTACAGATACCACTATATCGTTATATCCCCGAAACTCTTCACCGCTGCATTGGAAGACGTTTTCAAGCTACTGGACTGGAAAGGATACGGTATTGACATCAATGGCGAGTACATCACTCACCTTCGATTTGCCGACGATATAGTCCTTATGGCAGAATCGCTGGAGGACTTAAGCACTATGCTCAATGACCTCAATAGTGCCTCCCAACGGATAGGTCTTAAGATGAACATGGACAAAACAAAGATCATGTTCAATGTCCATGTCACACCTATGCCGGTAGTTGTTGGGAGCACTATGCTCGAAGTTGTTGACGAATACGTTTACCTGGGACAAATAGTCCGACTAGGTAAGTCCAACTTCGACCGAGAGGTCAATCGACGGATTCAACTCGGCTGGGCAGCGTTCGGGAAATTACGGCATATCTTTTCGTCAGGTATACCTCAATCTCTAAAAACTAGATTGTACAACCAGTGCGTGTTGCCAGTGATGACTTACGGATCTGAGACGTGGTCCTTCACTGCTGGCCGTATGAGGACGCTTAAGGTCGCTCAGCGAGCTATGGAGAGGGCTATGCTCGGAGTTTCTCTGCGTGATAGACTCAGAAATGAGGATATCCGCAGTAAAACCAGAGTGACCGACATAGCCCAACGGATTAGTAAGCTGAAGTGGCAATGGGCCGGCCATATAGCTCGAAGAACCGATAACCGATGGGGAAGAAAGGTTCTCGAGTGGCAGCCTCGTACCGGTAGGCGTAGTGTAGGGCGACCCCCCACTAGATGGAGTGACGACCTGGTAAGACATGCAGGAAGTCGATGGATGCAGGTGGCTCAGGACCGTGCTTTGTGGCATTACTTGGGGGAGGCCTATGTTCAGCAGTGGACTTGTGAAGGGCTGTAATGTTGATGATGATGATGATGACAGATACCACGCAGCATATCCGATCAGCACCCATTTACCTTCGAATGACGATGCTGCATCAGGAGTCTCTCACAGTATGGATATATCTTCAATTAATAATACCGCTCAAGATGATTGGCATGCTTATCTCGAACCTTCGCAGATTGAAAGAACAGACCCTCGCAGTATTACTTTTACTTGATGACTACGCAGACTTACCTTTACTTAATGATGCTTCTCTAGAAAACACTCGCAGTATGCACTTAACTTTGATTGAAAATGGTGCTCCAGAACTCACTCGCAATATGGAATCACCTTCGAATGATGATGGACCTAATAAGGACCTATCCCCGAATAAAAATCCAGGTTCAACCTAATCCATATAAGGGTAAGAAATGTGGGAACAATTGTGAAAACATAACCGAAAAAAAGAGGCAACATGTATTTAAATATTTTTGAACGCGTTTCCCTAAACGCCGTAGTGACTGGTTGGTTGGCATAACTGACAAAGAAAACGTTAAGAGTAAACGTAGTAGTTCAGAATCGCGCAGTTACATATATAAGTATTGCATTACTGATAGTGAAGGAAGAAATCTGTATGCTTACAGATTTTGGCAGCGACATTAGATATTTCACAAAAGTGTATATATAACACAGTGAAAAATGCTTCTACGGGAAGTGATAAAGACGACTTGTGAGAAAAATATGAACCATCCAACAAAACCAAACCTAATACTAAATAGTCTGCCATCAATTTCGTCAAAAGCCTACTCACTCACATTATTGCCGTCATGATTTTACCCGGGTTTACTTGCCGCAGGAATACAAAAATATTGCACACATATACAGAGTTTATAAAGAACGCAACGTGAAAGCTGGCATATACATAGTTAGTGAAATATTTTCCTAAAAATATTTAGTATAGATTTGAATATTCCCTATCATTTCATGTCCCTAAAAAAGAGAAGTGCCAGGAATATTTAAAGTTGCAACAAGCAGATCTCACCGATCCAAAAAAAGAAAGAAAAGGCAGATCATGATACTGATACAGAAGAAAGTTTAAATAGATTTGCTCATAAATCTGTACACAAAACTAATCTTTCCACATTATGAGCAAGCTTCGACTTAGAGAAGGTGTTGAATACTCCACATAGCAAGTCGCTGCTTTATTATTTAAGAAAAATAGCGGTATATAATCTATGACTCTACGAAAATGGAACACGTACAGTGACTTGCTATTATTGGGATGAAAGTAACGGGAAAAGGGGTGCAAATGAAATGGCAAGTATTCTCCACTGTTACATTAAATCTGTGGAAGAAAGAGAAAATATAAAACACCTTCTTCTATACTACACTGTTGCCCTAGGAAGAAAAAAAATCGCACTGTCCTAGCCACGATATATTCTACTTTGCAGGAGTGTAATAATCTTCAGACGATACAAATTAATTATTTACTGACAGGGCACACATATATAGCTGTTGATAATGTACGCGCCGTTATAGAGAACAACCCGAAAAAACTGTAATTCATGCGCCTTCGCAATGGTAAAACGTACTTGCTACGGCAATAAAAGAACCTTTTACGTATGAAATTGAAGCAATGGCTTTTGAAAGTTTTAATAGACGGGACGTTGTTGGTAATAAATACTTCAAACGAAATTTGACTGGGAAAATTAGCAAAGTTCGTGTCGTGACTTTCAATAAAAAAGCCTTCCATGATTTCTATCAAAGACTCCATGAAAGTTAGTGCAAAACCATATATCGTCAAAGTTCAATCCAAAACCAAAGGTCCACTGATGCCTTGCTACCAATCACGACTGCCAATCGCAGATGCCAAATATATTGATCTCATGAAACTTTGTAAAGATAAAGTAATACCTGCTCCATTCCATCATGAATACTCCATTATCCCAAAGGCTACTAATGCAAAAGATACCTTGCCTGAACTAGATATTGAAGATGATCAATAACAATAATAATTACAACATACAGATTCTTTTACGTTGTTTTTCTTAGAAGTTTCTTTTTAGTTCGGTTTATTCAGTGAGAGCTTTAAACTGGATCCTATTATTTTAATTGTTACTTCATATTATAATGTAGATGATGACTGAAAATATTACTAGCTGTAAGTTGTTTTCGCACAGAACTTATACTCTGTCAATTATAGGATGGTTCCCTGACGGCTGTTAGATTTTTTTCCTTTTTTCTTGTCATTTCGTTTTGTTTCTTATCTGCTGTCAGGAGAACCATACTAGAATTTATTGAGTATAGTTGATATAAAACTACTGTTATTTTTGGAATTTGATTTATAGAAGTTTTCTTTTTTTACGTACAGTTTTATAAATACCTATGAGGTACATTTTGAGCATCGAGTTGTGACTGAAATGTTACTAGTTTTGTAAACATATTCACATTTTATATTGATTATGATAATTAATAGGACTAAATACTTAAATTTGTAATCTCAATGTTCTTAAAATACATAGAATTATTATTGCGATATACTAGTAGATTTATAATACCTAACTAATGCTAATATTGTGTACCTAAGTGTTGCTTTATTAAAATTAATAAAACTCAAAACAGTTTAAGTGCATTTTATTTACATTCTTTAATAAAATATTAATCTTATTTTCTGTAAAAATGGCGTTTATATCAAAATTACGGAATACAATTTATATTAAATTAATATTTAGGTTGTTTTGCCTCCACTTCCACATGTTTTTTTTTTTATTTTGGTATGGCAACTTTTACTCTTCTATAAATTATAAAAAAATATATATATTACATTTTTACCGTACATTCCTTAATCAAAGCTTGTTGGTTAGTCAATTTTTCTCGTCTCTACTCTTAGGTAAAATTTTACTAAGCGACACTAACTTTAAAACTAAGCATTATTTTTAATAGTTACGTACACTATAATGTAGATAGAAAAATAAACAAACAAATTTCTAAGAACTAGACTTTTTGGATCATTACAAGAATTTACACAAATTTTTTCCGAAAATTCATACTTTAAATAGCTCTACTGTAAAGTTAGTCTGATGTCGCTTGGATAACTTTAATTTGTATGTATATATTTAGGTATGTAAAGATATACATTTATACATATCTAAATATATACATACAAAATATCGCTAACATATATATTTATACAAATATATATGTAGGTGTATATTATGTTCGCATATAAACAATGTATTGTTGTTTCCAAATAATAGCTAAATGCTGATTTCGGCCCCACTCTATTGTCTGAATGATTTTTTTTAATTTTTAGCTTTAGGTAATGTGTGTCCATCTGTGAACTCAATATTGGGCTCCATTTAAGAATAAGCACCGCTGTAATTTAGTACAGCAGCACTTAACTGAAATCGGGACGTACTTTGACTTCACACAAATTCTCAAGGCTTTTTTATCAATAAATCAAAACAACGTCAAATAACGTTTTCTTTCTTTCTTTTTTCAAATTCTCAGTACTTAACAGCGTGGGAGGAGAAAGTTGGCAATGTTTCACCCCCATAATTCGAAGAGCACGTAAAGCAGGTGGTCCTGAGCCTGACGTCTCTCCGGTCGTGTCGGCCATCAGACACTATAATAAAAACTGACCGCCGTAACCGAATTTCGGTCTGGAGAACATTATTTATTATTATTTATATATCAATTCAGTTCTAGTTTCTACTTCAAGTCCTAACAATCGAATCTATTGTGAGATTGGCCATAATTCATTAAACGTGGAAGTAAACTTCCTTACTCTAAAGTAATATCTTATGTATCTGCATATAGCACTAAATCTAAGAAGCTATTGTCCACTATCTCCACATAAAATCCTCTGCAGAGATTTGCTTGTGATATAATTGAAAACAACAACGGACTATTTGTTAGAATGACCACGTAGCATGGATATAGACGGATAATAACGGTAAATAGTTTTATAAGAAAATGAAATATGATCATCATTATACACGTTTTGTTTGTCCCGTATGCGTTGTTTTTTTATAAAACTGAAGTGCCATATGAATTTACAGTTCACCTAATGAAAAGAAGCTGTACTGCAGTCCATTGTAGTGCAGTGTAACTTCTTATATATCTTACCAGGTCACCACTCAATTTAATGAGGTCTACCCTGAAATTCGCTTACCGGTACGAGGATGCCACTCGGGAAACTTTCTTCCCTATCAGTTGTAAGTTCTTCAAGCTATATGGCTGGCCCATTGCTACTTAAGTTTATTATACGCCTTACCACCTGGGATTGCTATACCATTCGTGCTATTATTTTGAGTCCTTGGTATTTGCATGCCCTATTAGACATATACATCTATCTTCGATCTAGAACTATAACGAAGATCATATCTATATGATTTCACTTTTGATGATTAAAACAGAACGTTTGTTGCAATCAATACCATTTAGGCTACAATCTGAGTATCAACCTGTAATTATTTTGCAATGAGGTGGCCGCTACCAAGATATTTTTATTTTATTTTGTGTTCTTAAAGATGTTAAATTTTAAACTATTCTTTTTTCAAAAAATGTCCTACCGGTTTTTTGTCGATTCTTCCAAGGACGGAACTGTTTACCGAACCAGTGGCAAATTAACTATAGGGACTTTCTTTAAGTATTATTAATAATTTACATTTTTATAAAAATATGAAACTTTTACCATGATGATGTATTTATTATTTGCCGTGCAGTGGCGGTTGAGAATATCCACTACCCCATATCTTCCCGTCGGTGTCGTAAGAGGTGACAGAGGGAGACAGGAAGGAGATGAGCAGCAGCATCTTCCTGATAACAACAGTGATATAATAAAAAAACTGCGGTTGCCAACCCGCTCGGCAAGCGTGGCAACTATGGCAAATATCCCCCCCATGAATAACGACGCAAACAAACGGCCCCCAGTAACGGCGGGGCAGGGGGTGCTAAGAATCTCCGGTGGAGGTTCGGTTGCCACCTACGACGACTCGACCTGACAACATATAACGCACGCGCCCTGAGGACTGACGAGAAGATACTGGAGCTGGAAGAAAAGGTAGACAAGTTGCGCTGGCATGGATCCAATGACACAATTTCTTGGGAAGCCCATAGGAAGGGAACTTCGAAAGAAGCTCAATTGAATAACATCTTCTGCGTCCGCAGGGGCCTTAAAGTTTAATGCTTTATCGAAAAAGTTTAGTATGTATATATTATAAATAAAACTCAATAATATAATTAGAATACTTACAATGTAATTTAATAAAAAAGTGAAACAAAATTCAATCATATTTTTTAAAAATCAAATCGTCAATTTGCCTTAAAATGCAAAAATGTCTTGAATTTTGGCATTTCGGGAAATCAATTTGGTTTTTATGGCCTTTTGTCGTAATGAACCCTTACAATGAGAAATGGCCGTGTCTGACAATAACTTCACAGCTCGCTCAATAGTCTGGGTATGATATGGGAGAGGTTAAAACAAAAGTTCACCCTCACCACCAGATTGGACTATTTTCTGAATTTCTTGGTCACTTAAGTATTTCAAGATCGGTGATTCTGTAATAGTGAGTTGCCAATTTATTATATCAATGTAGGTTTTACAAGGCTGCACTAAAAGTATCGGGAATGGAATATTTCCACTGTTCCTATCATATTAAAATCTTTTTAATTGAAAAATCCTTGGTTTTAAAAATCGAATACCATTTATTTATTTAAAAAAAGATTCTCGATCTTGTAACAAGGTTTTGTCAAACTTTGTTAGTCGTTGAGAAAATTGAATTGACTCGAGAAAATTCAAGAGCGATGATTTATTATGACTTTCGAAGTGGTTTAACACAAAAACAGTGTGTTGACCGGATGATTTCTGCATTTGGTGATGATCCCCATCCAAAACCACAATTTATAGCTGGTTTGCTGAATTTCAACGTGGACGTGTCAAGCTCGTCCAAAAACTGCATTCACCCAAGAAAACGTTGATGCTGTGCGTAAGCTGATTGAGGAAGATCGACATATAACATACCGCGAAATGCAGGAAACTTTAGAAATTGGTATGAGTCAAATACAAATAATCTTGCATGAACAATTAGGTGTAAAAAAGTTGTTTTCCCGATGGATATCGCATTCCCTCTGTGAAGAGAAAAAAGCGGCTCACGTTACTTGGTGCGTTAGAACTCACGTAATATTCCACGCAGATCCTCAAATTCTGTATACAATATCGTATCAGGTGACGAATCCTGGATATATGCGTACGAACCCTAAACAAAAAACCAGTCACGAGTTTGGGTGGTCGAAAATGAGTTAAAGCCAACAAAAATTGTTCGTTCACGGAGTGTTGCAAAAAAATGGTAGCCACGTGTGTCTCCAAAACCGGCCATGTTACGACTATTCCTCTTGAGGGACAAAGAACGGTTAATGCAGAATGGTATGCTAGCATTTTTTTGCCACAGGTCGTTTCTGAACTCCGTAAAGAGAACTGCAACCGCCGCATCATCCTCCATCACGACAATGCGAGTTCTCACACCGCACACAGAACAAAGGAGTTTTTAGAACAAGAAAACATAGAATTATTAGACCATCCACCGTACAGCCCCGACTTAAGCCCTAATGATTTCTATACTTTCCCTAAAATAAAGAATGAATTGCGTGGACAGAGATTTTCATCACCTGAAGAAGCTGTGGACGCCTACAAAACGGCCAGTTTGTAGACCCCAACTTCCGAATGGAATGGTTGCTTCAATGATTGGTTCCATCGTATGGGAAAATGTGTCAAATTTTGCGATGAATACTTCAAAAAGCAATAAATATATTTTTAAATAGTAATGTTGTGTCACTTCCTTGATTCCCGAAATTTTCAGTGCCGCCCTCGTAGCGCTGAAATTAATATCAGGCATCTCGAATAGTCTTGGTGCAGGGGATTGCTATATACTCTGTGCTTTTAATATGCGCCAGGTTGCCAATTCACGAATGTGCTTTATATCATCTGTAACCATTGCAAGTAGCA